ATTGTTTTTTCTCTTTAGCAAAACAATATTCTGAGAGAGGACAAAAAATGCTACTAGATGGTACTAGCACAACTTTTTCAGACAAATTTGGAATCTCATCGTTTTTCAACTGGACCCTTCATATATATAATATATATATATATATATATATATATATATATATATATATATATATATATATATATATATATAATATATATATATATATATATATATATATATATATATATATATATAAATATATATATATATATATATATATATATATATATATATATATATATATATATATATAATATATATATATATATATATATATATATATATATATATATATATATATATATATATATATATATATATATATATATATATATATATATATATATATATATATATATATATATATATAGTCTTGCATGTCTCTTGCGTAGCATCAAAAAATATTTCCCATAAACTGTAGTTTTAAAGAGCGCGTTAATAAACCAGACCAGAAAAAGTTTTAAAAATTAAATTTTTTTTTTTTAATTGATAGACTGCCTGGCCAAACCAAACCCTCAGTCGATGTAGCAGCACTCTCTTGCGAGTCAGGCTATTTGTCAGTCGTTGTAGCAGCACTCCCTTGCGAGTCAGGCTATTTGTCAGTCGATGTAGCAGCATTCCTTTGCGAGTCAGGCTATTTGTCAGTCGATGTAGCAGCACTCCGTTGCGAGTCAGGCTATTTGTCAGTCGATGTAGCAGCACTCCGTTGCGAGTCAGGCTATTTGTCAGTCGATGTAGCAGCACTCGGTTGCGAGTCAGGCTATAAGATAGTCGATGTAGCAACATTTACGCATGTTTAAAAAATGTTTTTTATTAAATCAATAACAAAAACACCACTAATTAAAAAAAACTTTCTAGTCGTTATAATTGCGGTTTTTTAAAAATTTGTTAAAAAACAATTAAATTTAATGTACTTCCGCATAAATTAATTACTTTGACATTTCGATGACAATCAAAAACAGCTTAAGAGACGAGGTAATTAAAATTGTAGTCGTAAGAGACTTTTTTTACATTAAAATGCTCTTAAAGCGACACTATATAAGTATATATATATATATATATATATATATATATATATATATATATATATATATATATATATATATATATATATATATATATATATATATATATATATATATTATTTTAAAACATCAAAAATACGATTTCTCTCATCACTTTTAATTTTTTTATTATTATAAAAATTTTTGCTGGATTTTAGAAACCAGCTTTTTCAGCTTGTTAAATGTTACAGTAATTAGTAAACCGTTATAATTTAAATTAAAACGTTGCTATTGACGTCAGCTTCTTTTTCGCTGAAATTTAAAAAATGGCGTCCAAAACTTAGTTTTTACGTATTGACCCTCATCGAGATTAATCCCGCCATTGCTTGGTTGAGATCTGGAAACCTTGCGTGACTATCATCGACATATCTTAAGAACGATTTGAGGTTAAGTGCAGGGTTGAAATTTAGTGCAATTATAATTGCATTGTTTTCATGGAATTGTAGAAATGATTCTGCAAGAACGACCATGAACGAAAGTCCAATTGGACCCGAGTTTTCCATTATATGAATTTCATTGCTCCAATGAAAATAACATTGAAATAAACAAAGTTCTATAAGTTGTTTTATTTCAGGTATACTTCGTCTTGTTAATTTTTTATATGTTGTATTATTATTTAATTTTTCTATAAGTACAAGGGTGGCTTCTTTTAAAGGAACCGACGGATACAGATTTACGACATCAAAAGATACCTGAACTTCATCGTTGTCAATTTTTCAAGATTCAGCTTTTTTAATAAAGTCAAAGGAATTTTTTAATCTTGTCATGTTTTCATTCAAAACTGGTTGTATTATTTTAACTAAGAACTCAGATATTCCGTAGTTTGCTGTGCCGATTGTGGAGATAATTATTCTCATAGGATAGAATTTTTCAGGTTTGTGGGCTTTGATTACACCATACATACGAGGCGGGATGGGATCACTAGGATATATATTTTTTCGTATTCCTCTTTTGAAAAACAGTTTCTTTTATTTAGTTTTGAAAGATATCTACGAATTTTAGCCGCGTAATTTGCAGTAGGGTCTTCACTTACTATTTTTGTTGGGCCTATTTGTTCGCGAATTTTTTCTAAGGCTTTTGAATGTTCGATTCGTACAAAACTTGTCCCTTTGTCGAATGGATATATATCAACGTTTTTTTCCACTTTTATTTCTCTATAAGCTTTCCATTGTTCTTTTGTAAGATTATTATTTAATTTTTTCCGGTTTTTAGTTCTCTTAAAACATTTTTCCTTAGGTCTTGGGCATTTTCAACTTTATTGTTGTATTCTAATTTTAACGCAGAGGATTCCGTGGCTGTAATAATATCCATATATGGTATCGACTTTAAAAATGGTTCAAAGTGTGGACCGAGGTTTAGAAAATTATTATGACTTACTGGAATGTCGGTATCGCATAAGTTTAGGACAGCATTCTTTTTATAATTTGTTGTTTTTTCGGCATTATCGTTTTTATTTTCACGTTCATTTTGCAATATTATAAATTTTTTCACTAATCGTTCTTTTGACTTAAACATATTATAAACATATTCTCCCGAGCTTTTTCAGTAATTTGTTCTAATTTAATGTAGTCTTTTTGGTCTAGGTGACATTTAAGCGAACGTTGAAGATTTTTAACGTCATTCATAAGGTTAAAGAATCGTTTCCTAGAATCGTTTTTTATGCTAACTAAAAGTTCAAATCTAAAACGATAAATAATACCTATTGCTCTTCTATTTTTTATTGGAGAGTTAATTCGCAATGATTTCGGAATAATTTTATGTTTTACACATTTTTGTAAAAAGATGTATTGGTTTTTCGATTTAGCAACAGATTTTTTTAATAACTTTAACTGTTCAGTTTTTTTGTAGATTTCAGCTCCGTATTTAACTGTTATATATGATTTAAAGGAATTAAATCATATATAACAAAAATAAATTTAAATTTTCTAATCAACGTGTTTATTGAAAATGGTTACGATAAAACTCAAATGATGAATATTGCGCATCAGTTTCAACACAAAAGACAAAATAAAATTACAATTCCATCTGAAATCAGTAATTATCCTGTAGTTTCCTTACCAAGGGTACCCGGTCTCTCGCCAAAACTTAGGAAAATATTCCGAAAAGCTGGTTACAGAGCGGTATTCAAATCAAACCCAAACTTAAGATCCCTGTTAACATCAAAAAACAAATCAAAAATACCTAATACCAGTCAACCAGGAACATATATAATCAAATACAACTGTTCAAAAGTGTATGTAGACGAAACAAAAATGAAAGTAAACACACGAATGCATCAACACCAAATAGCATTGATGAAAATAAGCAGCATCAATCTGCATTAGCTCTGCATAAAACACTTTGCAAAAAAGAAATTATTTGGGAACAAACAAAAACATTGAAAGTAGAAAATAAAAAATTTGAAAGAAAAGTTAGGGAAGCCCTAGAAATACAAAAAAATATGTGTTCTGCAAAAAATGGCGGGATTAATCTCGATGAGGGTCAATACGTAAAAACTAAGTTTTGGACGCCATTTTTTAAATTTCAGCGAAAAAGAAGCCATTCAACCGCTGACGTCAATATCAACATTTTAATTTAAGTTATAACGGTTTACTAATTACTGTAACATTTAACAAGCTGAAGAAGCTGGTATCTAAAATCCAGCAAAAATTTCTATAATAATAAAAAAATTATAAGTGATGAGAGAAATCGTATTTTTGATGTTTTATATATATATATATATATATATTTATATATATATATATATATATATATATATATATATATATATATATATATATATATGTATATATATATATATATATATATATATATATATATATATATATATATATATATATATATATATATATGTATATATATATATATATATATGTATATATATATATATATATATATATATATATATATATATATATATATATATATATATATATATATATATATATATATATTTATATATATATATATATATATATATATATATATATATATATATATATATATATATATATATATATATATATATATATATATATATATTATATATATATATATATATATATATATATATATATATATATATATATATATATATATATATATATATATATATGTATATATATATATATATATATATATGTATATATATATATATATATATATATATATATATATATATATATATATATATATATATATATATATATATATATATATATATATATATATATATATATATACATATATAGTAAACAAATGGTTTACAGTTAACAAGTTCTCATCAAATACGAATATAACTCAATATACAATATTCAACGAAAAAACACAAGAAGAAAATATGGCACTTACAATAGCAGTTCTTTTTATAAATGATTAACGAACTAATAAGAAGGACATTTTTAAAAACCTAGGAATTTTTGTAGATAAAAACTTGTTTGTGTTTCTTCACACTAAATACATTGAGTCAAAAATAAACACAACAACTTGCATAATGTACATAATTAGCCCATTCATAAATACTCAAAGCTTCGAATTAATATACTTTAGCCTATTTTATAGCAACATGAGATATAGTAGTTTTGCGTGGGCTAGCACACAACTTTAAAAAAATATTTAGTGTGCGAAAACCTTAAAAAAATATTTAGTGTGCGAAAACATGCTAGCAGAATTGTATACCAAAATATTTTTAAATTCTTTTGTTAGAATGTACAAACTCTAATTTTATTTAAAACAGTATAATTATTAAGCCAAGAAAAAAATGTTCTAACTTTGATTATTAAAATAATAAAAAATAAAACTTAGACTTAATTAAGCTTTCTTTTTTTTTTTACTTATTTATATATCTATACAGTACAATTTTATGAATGGCTTCAAAAAACTTTTGTTTTTTAGGAAACGAAGAAGGTTTATTTTTCCGAAAATCTAAAAGCGATACTTGGACTCGTCGACTTGAGTGGAGAAAATTCCTATAAACAAAAAAAAAAGTTTTTTTTGCGAAAGTTTTAGTTCATTTCACTTAAATTAAGCTAAATAAAAATATAACTTATAATATTTTAGTTTTTGAAAACTGTACTAAATTATAGTTTATAAAATAATTAGTTTAAATTAATAAAGTAGTAAATTATTTAAATTTATAATAATTTTTACTTAACTTTAAACTTACGTTCTTTGTGTTACGTTAAACTTTTAGTCCACCATAGTCATCTAACAAACTCTTCATGCTTAGTCCATGCATGGACTATGATCAATTAGCTAACTTATCAACCAATTGCTAACAATTATAGGCCATGCCAAGTATTTTTAACCGTTTATTGCATGGTCCGCATATGATAGCCGCTTTTTTGCCGGTGTTGCGTTAAAAAAGTTAGCCGTTAAAAAAGTTTACAAAATGTGAATTCTGCGCGTGCGCAAAATAATTAAAACTTTTTTAACGCGTATAGGCGTTAAAAAAGTTTACCCGTTAAAAAAGCTTTAAAAATGGCAGCGCAAACCTTGCAAATATGCAAAATATTTTAGCGATGAGTAAGATGTACAAAATACGAACAAATATTTATGATTAAATTTTGATATTTTTATTGTTTTTCTATATAATTTAAATTTTTATTTTGTTTCTAATTATTAAAGCCGATCGCTATAGCACTTTGCTAAAACTGCTAGCTACTCCTAAAAATGATTAAATAAACTCCTTTTTTAATCATTTTAGTGAAGCTGCACCCAGCAGTGAACACCTAAGAGATGAATAATAAGTTAAAAAGAGTTTAGCAGAGTGAGATAAAAGTACAAAAGACAGATATCCAGTGGAAAAACAAAGAGTCTTAAAGTAGAAAAATACTAAAAACTGATATAAGTAAAATGTAGTAACAAACAAATAAGAATAAAAAACAATAGCCAAGGAAAGTCATTTCAGGACTATTTTCAGAGTATCCAGAGTAATGCTACTAAATTGTTGTTAGTGTCTAGGGTAAATGTGATGTATAGACAGAATTGGTAATGGAGTAGAATTATTCGCTTTATAAGTAGTCAACGAGTGTTTAGTATTATTAGGGTGATAAACATACATTATAGATATAAGTGTCGAGAACGTCTCGAGTACAGTATGGATTTGTGCCTTATGGTACAGTATGAACACATGAAGACCTCCAGCCTTCATTTGAGACTGGTATCCCAAAAGAAGTTCCACTCTGGGTCTACACCAGGGTATCTTTTTAAGATATCCCATTGTGTTATCCCAAAAGGACTATTCTCAGAGTATCCAGTCAGGACGATTGCCTCAGACTCCTGAATTGACACTGAAACCAGAGGACACTTAGCGGGGTTCAGTACAACTTGCAAACAATAGTAAGTAATTTTTTGACATGAGTGTCTTTAAGTGCAGTTTGTCACAGTATAAGTTGGGTCAATGAGAGTTGTGAACTGTTTCGAGTTCTTATAACTAAGTGTGTAATGTAAATTGTCAATGTGGTATACTTGTGTGTGACCAGTGTAGTAGCATGTCTCGATAGTAAGAGCTATCAATATAAAAATAGTTGAAAGTCTTTTAAATTGGTCTAACATATGGAAGACGTGAGTACTAGGAGTCCAATGAACGTGTATCAGTAAAAAAAAAAGTAACATAAATAAATAAACAAACTATTACAATTGGAAAGTGAAGTGGAGTTAAGGATTTCATAACTTTCCTTATAGAGTTACTTTTCAAAACATTTTTTACCGCAATCAAAATGGGGATGAGAGCCAACTTCGACAAGAAGCCATGAAAGTCAAATACGTAGAAAAAAGTAAATAAAGACTATTCAAAGTATTTTTTAACAATACAACATTGATTAAAATTATTTTTTTCCATTATTAAAAGTATAATTTAAACATTAAAAACATTAAACTTAAATAATCTTTTGAGTTTTAATTTCTTAAAAAACAAGAAATATAAGACGTCTAGAGATAAACGTATTTAACAAACAATTAAATTTCAAATAATTTTACCAACTTACTAAATTAGAGTAACTTCCAAGACACTCTGTTAAAAATAATTAAAAGACATGAAATAAATTATTATAAATAAATATCATTACTAGCACAACAATGGCTAAAATATTGAATAAAACATAATACAGTAGCACAAAGTTGCTTATTTGGACATAAAAAAAAGTTTTGTTACCATTAAACCAAATTATTCTTACCTTGTATTTTGTAGAGTTCTAGATTTTCCCTGTTGGCTTATGATTAATATAGCAAATTTGAAATCATAAAAATTTACTAAATTAAAACCATGTTTCAACAGTACGCCAGCTGAAATAAAAAAAATGGTAGGTAAAAATAAGAATATTTCTTTCAATACAAAAGAAATATAATATCCTTTAAACTTAAAACTATTATAAAAAATAATTATAAAAAAACTTTATGTTCAAGATGTGAGAAAATGAGCAAAAATTTTTTTTTTTATTGTTGCAAGATATAAATCAAAAAACTTTTTTTTTTTATAAACTTGTAAAATAATTAAAAAAGATTAAAGAATTTCAGAAATATATATATTATCAACAAAAATCAGTTTCCTTCTTTCATTTGGATGCATCAAAAAGAAAATAGATCTTCTTTCTATCACAAAAGCATCTATAAAATAAATTTGTTTTTTTTTTTTAATTTTTTGACAGTATCATACATATGCAAATATTCATTTAAAAAATCATAAATGTAATAATATATCCTACCCTAAAATTATCCCAAAGCACAATGACAGGTATCATCACAAAGAAATGATAAAGCGCATCTTTTAAGCCCATTTAATATGGTTATATAAGGAAACATTTCAAGTTTACCTTTTTCAATACACATTAGAAAATGTTTTCTCATACTTTTTTTTTCCCAGACAATTAAACTTGCATCAATTCCATTACATAGAGCTGTAGCATTTGCAACAGCATAAAGACCACAGTCATTGCCATTATCTTGGGTCTGGCAGTTCATAACATCAAAACTTATAGAGCTAACATCTTCACAAATCAATAATGATTGAGCAACACGATGCACAAGTAATGGAACATCTTCTTTTGAACTGGTAAAAAGAGAATCATAATATTGAACTGATGATTTTAAACATGTATCAGATGACACATTACTTATCAGTATCCAATGTGAATTTCTGACATTGAGTATTTGAATAAATTTTCCTGAAGGGATGTAACCCCCTGAATTATTTTTATTAAAAATACATGAACTTTGAAATCCGGCAATATGAGGAAACTGAGATGATAGGAAGCTTTGGGCTATATCTAATAATGTATCATTTAACCAACCACATGGATTTTTTAAAATATCGAGGCCTAATTTAACTGACTGTGTTGATAAGTTTAAAAAAAATTTATTGTTAACAGAAATTGCAGGGTATACATTTTTCGATAAAAAGTTTTCCACTTTAGTCAATTTATTTTTTCTACCTTTAACATAGCATTTTGAGTCAACTATATGTCTCTTGTTTGATTTTATAGGTTCTATTATATTTTTGTTATTTCTTGCCATTTTAATTTTCCTTGGTAGACAATAATTGTGTTCATTTAATATTATTGCTGATGATAAAGTCTGATTTTTTTCTATATATGGCTTCGTGTTTATTAAAGCAACAGCATTCCTCCAAACTTTTCCATTACGAGTTACAACAGCACCATTTTGTTCAAAGCTTGTGATTGTAGCAGGTCCAAGCCAATCGTGCTCCATTTGGCTCCCTTTACGACCAATTTTTCGGCAGTTTTTTAATAAAACTTTATCACCTATTTTAAATGAAAATGATTTACAACCCTTCATCTGTTTAGCGGCATAATACTTTTTCATTTTTGTTTGAGCATATAAAATATTTGAATTTACCACAATGCTGACTTTATTACATGAATCAATTCTTTCTTGAATTTGACTTTCAGTTGAATGAATGTCATTATTACCATCAATAAGGTTTGAATTGGTTGGATTCATTGCTAAAGCTGAAAATAATTGTGGTTCTCTGCCGAACATTAGAAAAAATGGTGAAAACTTAGTTGAATTTTGAACACATGTGCGAAGACCAAATAACACTGGTTCTAACAACTCGTCCCAGTTATCCTGGGCCTCATTGCATAATTTTGAAAGGGCTCTCTTAACAGTCTGGTTTGTTCTTTCATCTTGCCCATTTGTTTGTGGGTGATAAGCAGATGTTATAAGGTGTTTGACATTAAATAAAGAAAATAAAAGCTCATTTACACTGTTTACGAACTCCCTGCCTTGATCGGAAAGAATTTTTTTTGGAGGACCAAACCGATAAAATAAAGTGGTGAGACACTTAGATACACACAAAGTGTGTATCTAAGTGTATTTACTCCAGAGGTCTGTCACTGTTAAAATATATTTTTGCCCTTTTGATGTAATAGGTAGTGGGCCAATTAGATCAATACCTAAAAAATCCCATAGACCATTTACCCTAATAGGTTTTAATTCAGGCGCAACAGTTTTAATTTTTTCCATTTGTTGGCATTTGTCGCATTCCTTGATCCATTTGGTAATATCGCTAACCATACCTTAAAAACAAAGAAATTTAATATTTAACAGTATCATAAGCAAATGAATTAGCATTTTTTATTTCAAATTTATTTAACAAACTTTAGTTTTAAAAATCTATATTTAAGTAAAAAAATAACCTAGCCAGTAAAAAGAACTTTTTAGTTTAGCTCTAGTATTGTTGAGACCAACATGTGCCCCATGATCAGAATCATGGACATCTCTGAAAGCCAACTTTTTTTCATGATCTGTTAAAAGAACTAGGAGCTTCTTAGATGATTTTATGTAGTACAATTTACCATCTAAGAAAAATTATACATATATATATATATATATATATATATATATATATATATATATATATATATATATATATATATATATATATATATATATATATATATATATATATATATATATATATATATATACATATATATATATATATATATATATATATATATATATATATATATATATATATATATATATATATATATATATATATATATATATATATATATATATATATATATTTCATATATATATATTTTTCAATATATATATATATATATATATATATATATATATATATATATATATATATATATATATATATATATATATATATATATATAAAATTTAAATGGTAATATTTAATATATATTATATATTAAATATTACCATTTAAATTTTATTATGTCATTTATAAATAATCACATACCACAAAGTTTAAAGTTTTTTGCATATTTTAAGAAAGCTATACGCCGTGAGTTAAAAAACTTAATTATTCCATCAGAAAGATACTGTTTTACATCATCAACTGAGTAAACGTGAACAGCCATTTTTAGTATAACATGAGTTTATCCACCGTTCCTACCTCGTCATTAATTTATTCTAATTATACGTAAATATGCGTTACCGCCATTATGGAGGACAAACAAACGTAAACAAATAGTTCGGCAATGTCAACAGAAAGCGAACATTTGTCTAAGCTTGATTCTAATGCAAAGCAAAGATACTTAGAAAAAATGGTACTTAGAAACCATGGAAAAGAAACAATTCTAATTTTCAATAAAAAATTGTGGGTTATTTATTTCAGTTCAACAACCCTTCCTTGGTGCATCACCAGATGCAGTTATTAATTGTGATTGTTGTGGAAATGGTTGTCTGTAAATAAAATGTCCATATAGTATGAGAGATAATCACATTAGCGAATTATTAGATTTTAAAAATTGTTGTCTGGAAAATAAAGCTGGTTATATATCTTTAAAAAAATCACATAAATATTACTATCAAGTTCAGTGTCAGTTATATGCTTCATCAAGTAACTACTGTGATTTTTTTATTTGGACATCAAAAGATTCGTATTGCGAAAGAATATTGCCGGATTTGGAATTTATGGACAGGAATATAATAAAATCTAAACAATTTTTTGAAGAATGTATTTTACCTGAACTAATTAACAAATTTTACAGCCTAAAAAATCAATTAATAAAGGAAATATCAGAACTTATACTAATAGAACACTTTAAAAAAGAAAACAAAGTTTTTAATGATCACGATTGTTGTATAAAATTGAAATAAAAATTCAAACTTTTAATAAAAATATTTTATACTTAATTTGATAATATTTATTTTTGTTTATAAGATCTAGTTTCAATTAATTATTCAATCCTGTTAAATTTTAAAAAATTATTCCACAGGAATAATTGAATCACATATATTTATCAAAGGAGAACAAACAATAACAATTTTGTCTATTGTGCATAATCCAGAATCTTTAGTATATAAGTAATCTAATGGCATAATACTTTGCAGAACTTTATATTTGTTATGTAACAATCCAATAACTCTCTCAACGTGTACTCGAACAGAGGCAATTTTCCGGGTTGTTTCTACATCTGAACAAGTCAGTTGTAACTTTCCTTTTGTAAATCCTGGAATCTTTAGCTCCCCACAATAAAAACCAACACTAACAGAAATGTTAAAACCTCTATCAGCTAAAATAACATCTCCAGGAAGAATGTTTTTTAAAATTGAACAACGCTCTGTTAGGTATTTATCGCTAACACATCCTCCCCAAGCTTTAGAAACAAATGTTATCACATCTTGTGGGCTTACACCTATTAAGAATTTAACAGTATTGTGAAGTTTGTACTGTGACCAAGTTGCTGCTCTTGCGCATAAATTAGATGGTTTATTTATGAGTATTTCAAAGCAATCAATTATCACAGCCACTTTTGTTTCAAAATATTTTCTGAAGCATAAAGGCATAGTTTCTATAAGCTCATTGCGAGCAGGCCATTTAAATAAATGTTTCATTCTGAAGTACATAATGTCAATCCATCTTAAAAATACTTTTGATGAGGTCGATTTTGAAGTTTCAAATATATAAGCAAGGTCTCTAATAGATAGATTTAAACGCAATTCTTATAAGCAAGGTCTCTAATAGATAGATTTAAACGCATGCTCTCATAAGCGTCAAAGAAAATTCTTCAAAGTATGATAAAACTGAGTTCTCATTTTCAGTTATAAGAGGCTTTAAGAAGTTAAATAAACAACATAAAATTTTCAAATTTGGCAATCCAGTGTAAAATGTTACTTTTGAATCGGTATCAAACCATTCAATAGTTCCCACATGGAGTTTGACTAAATTTGCACGCAAATTATAATTAAGTTTGTTTTTATATATAAACTCAGTTTCTATTTGATTGATATTTTTGACAGTCATATCAGTTTGAACACTCGCATCTACTAAGTTTTCACAATCTATTGTAACACTTTCTGAGACAATTGATTCACTCCTTTTAAAATTCTCTATTTGAAAATCTATGATTGAATCTTCAGAAGGGTTTAAAATAGTGATGCTGTTTCTACAAGACATAGAATCATTTCGACTTTTTAACAATGAACAATTTTTGTGTCGTAAGTATCTTTCTCTAGGTTTCTCAACCTCAAACTTAAACTTTTTGTGCCCCATATTTAAGGATGGAACCCAATTAGGATCATTCTGTGAGAAAAGAGAAGCAGGTTTTCCTGAATAAAAAATAAAAATGTTAAACAGTTAATGATATTAAACTTTCAAAGTAATAAAAATATTATAAAAAGTAATAAAAAGGTAAAAAGGCTTATTCTACCTGTAATAAAATGATCACTGCAAATTGAGTGTGGAGGATATCAGGATAGTTACCAACTCTGTTTATGGCATTTATCCATTTTTCTCTACGTTCTTTTGATAAAATCTTACCATCATCGCCTTGATTGCAAGCTACTTTTGGTAAACGAAAAAAAGATTTTCCCTTTTCACGATTTGAACGATTTGAACATCCAAATACAGAACAAAAGTAGACCATATTATAATTTTATTATTACAATATTTGCATATTTATATATTAAACTTTAATTTAAAATAAAAAAATGATAATAGGCTATTATCATTTTTTTATTTTAAATTAAAGTTTAATATATAAATATTATATATTATATAAATATAGCTATTAAATAGCTAAATAAATCAGATCAGGATTTATATTTTCTTATTCTGGTTATACATTAAATTTTATAAAATATTATATTTTTTGAAAAAACTATGAATATTATAATTAATATATTAGTTCCGCTAACATAGTTGTCCTCCATAATGGCAGATTTGAAATCAAAACAACTCTTAATTATTTCGTGACGTCGAGCTAGGAACGGTGAATATTTAAAATTTTACATACCCTAATGGAACGATGAAACTTTTTTAACGCTGAATTTCACTCCCTAACGGAAACTTTTTATCAAAACTGCGCAAGCGTAACGCATGCGTATAACAGTTTGTAAACTTTTTTAACGACTAACTTTTTTAACGCAACACCTGTTGCGTTAAAAAAGTTAGCCATTTAACCGTTGCTTCACAATTGCTTATGTCACTTTCAGTTCATTTTATTTGTTTTTCACATGTCGTTTTTAATAGTACTAAAACTAACAGTAAAAAAAATCCAAGAAATTAAATTAAAAAAGACGTTTTAAAAAGCCTGAAAAATTAGTTGAAATAAGTTAAAGCTAACCTTCGTAAATAGGATACAAATAATAAAAATAGAATGTAGACTATTTTAAACTTTAATATCTCCGTCAGTTTTGCAATAGAATATATTTTAATAAAAGTTTAAAAAAGTAAATATTTCACAAATAAAATGTATTTTTCATATACAATTAAAAATAGTAAGTTCATCAAAAGGTTAAAGCTCGGCTGTCGTATTTGTTCGATGGTGCGAACGTTTGATATTTCTTGATCTCCAAATTTATTTCACCTATTAAATTGAACTTGCTATATTTTAATATGATATATTATTAGTTCGTCACTTTATTTTTAATAATGAAAACATAATGAGGTGTTTATTCTTACATTTAAAAAACTAGCTCCACTCAAAATAACGTCCCGACAAGAAAGTTATATGTGGCCCACATGTGGTCATAGTGCTTTTGAGTGTATTAAAAGTGCAAAAATATATTACAGTTAATGAATGACGTACTTGATGAAAATAAGTGTGGCACACTTGTGAAACACATAATGCGGTTAACATAAGTATTCCACTTAATGTGGCATAATCCTTAAATAAATACATGCTAAACTTGATGTGGCTATCATATGGATCATACATACATATAAAACTCACGATCTTGCCTCATTTTGAATTATAAATTTTAACCAATTGTAATAATTCTATCGCAATGCATTGTAAACTCTAGAATATTCCATGATATCATGTGGCTTATTGTTTTTATAATTTTCAATTTATAACCTTTGTAAGTATGTTTGAGCGATAAAAATAAATATTTATAGAAAAAGTGTAAATATATAAAATAAAAAACAAAAACTTAAGTGTGTTAAGACTTTTTCTTATTGCATTAATAATTTAAAAACCTGTAAATGTTTATAATTTTGTAAAAAAAAAAAAAAAGAAAAAAAAAAAAAATGTTTAAGCGGTTTTGTAATAAATATATAAGACAAATGTTGTTCTAAATAAACTTTCTATAAAATTTGTAAATCAGAGTTACTTAACGAATACAAAAATATAGTTATACTTAAACAACGTTATATTTTAAAATAGCGCAAATTTCCGCAACCGCATCTAAATTGTATAGTAATGCGTCACTAAAAATAAATATAGGTAAACAAACAAACACACTTTTTAATTGAGGCGTTTTATATTTTCTGCATTAATTAAAATTTTTTGAACTAAAAAAATAGGTAATAAGAAAAAATCCCCCCAAAATATTCCATGAGGAAAGTCCCCCCGATAAAAAAAATCCCTAGGAAAAAATTAAAGGGTATTGTATTTGTTTATAAAAACGCATTACTATACTTTTGAATCAATTCAAGTACAAATTAATTACGGAAAAAAACTAATTACGGAAAAAATTAATTACGGAAAAAACTAACTACGGAAAAAAACACATCTAAACTTCTTTTTAGTATTTGTGTCAATAAGGTATGCACCATTATTATTTGGTGATAAATTTATCTTGATTTTTTATATGGCTAAGAGCTATGCAAGTGCATTGTCATCATCTTCTACGTTGAGCAGCCAAGTAAAGACGCAACTTGGAATATTTAAATCAAACCTAATGACTGATAATGCTAATGTGTTAGTCTGCAGATATGGTAATTTAAATATCAGTATAAACGATTTTCTATCTGCTTTATCAGGAAAAAACCTTCTTTCTAGTGTCTGGGGAGTAACGAGGCACTACGCTAATCATTTGTTTGAGTTTGCAGTAATAAATAATTCTGCTGTAGAATTGTTTTTAAAAACAGAAATTGAAATTAAAGGCTGCTCTTTACGATTTCAACAAAAGTTTGTACGGAAAGTGCATGTTCTTGTGCAGATCATACCAATTGGTTTTCTCAGAAATGGTAGCCAAAGGGCGTTCATCTTACTTGGAAAACATCTTGCAACAGGCAGAGGCGAATTTGAGTCATTTTATCTACAAAAAGTTGATCGCCACCAAAATGTTGATGGGCTAACTCTTAGGTACAAACATGTCGGACAACCGGAGAGCAACACCCAAAAAGCTTGTCAATTTGTTTTACCCACCAATGGAACAACCATCTGAAGCAAACAACAAAAAAATGAATGTAATGACATAGAGGGTGAAACCCTTTCTGAAATTGCTTCCAGCGCAGACAATGAAGTCCACGAAGAAAAAAAAAAAATAATGAAGTTACTCTAAAAACAAAAACGCTACCGAAAACCGCTTCACAGTCCACTAGAAAAAGACTTGGACAGTCGGAGGGTGAAACTCCCAAAAAAGTAACTAACACCACAGTTTTGGAATCAGACATTACCGCATTAGAAACAACAGAAGCGATGGATTTTTTTCTCTACAAAAAAACAAAAATCTTTTTTCGAGGTTTTTTCTGTTCTAATTTTTTCTAATTTTAATTTCTCATTAAAAATAAATGGCACATGTTTAATGATGCGCATAAGTTGTGGTATACCGTATTGTTGTAGCTCACGCTTTTGTGTAAAATGTTATGGTCCAGTGCGTCCATCTGTTAGTATTACGTCATTTCAAACGAAAACTCGTGCTCTAAGGTTAAGGTGTAAATGTTTGTATTTATGTCAGGTTGTAAAATTATTATATTTATGTTTAAGGTATACGAGTTTTCAAATAAGGAAAGCTGATCCTCTCCAACATGGCTATTAATATTTTAACATGCAACATAAACGGTCTAAACGACCAAACAAAACGCGACAATTTTTTTGGGTTTCTAAAAAAGGAAACACACTCCGGACCTTCCACTGTTAAACAGTGGGAAGACGAATGGACTGGCGAGTCTATTTGAAACTCCGGTCCAAGTCGTAACTGTTGGGGGGTGGCGATTCTCTCTAAATCCAACGTTTCCTTAAACGGATAATAACGGTAGAATATTAAATGTCATGATAAAAATTGACAAACACGAAATGCATGTGCTGAATATTTACGCTCCTAATGTGCCGAGAGAAAGGCGCCTTTTTTTGGCGACCTTGGTGAATTCTCGCAGGACACAGGACTACCTGTCCTGGTGGCCGGAGATTTCAACATGGTCGATAGCCTGCCTCTCGACACAGAAGGCACGAACAACGCTAAATATCACACTTATGGCATTGATGAACTCGGGGTATTCCAAGGTAAGTATAACCTAGTTGATGTTTTTCGTTTTAAATACCCAAACAAAAGAGAATTCACGTGGCGAAATCAGAAGGTAAAATGTAGACTCGACCGAATCTACTGCCCTGATAAAGTCGCCAAAAAAACAACACATACTAAAATTCTCACCAATCCCTTTTCCGACCACGAGTTCGTAACAACAACCGTCAATTTTAGTAAAACTAGGAGAGGGCCAGGATACTGGAAATTAAATTGTTCCCTCTTGGAAACAGAGGTGCATAGGCAAAAAATTGAACTCTTAATTCAAGATTGGCAAGCAAAAAAATGGTCCTACAACTCACTTTTAAAATGGTGGGACGACTGCAAACTTTTTGTTTGGGTTGAATTACAACATATATCGATACAGGAAAGTGCGAAAAATAAAAAACAAATCAAAAGAATTGAAAAAAAATCCAACGGGAGCGACAAAACGCTAACCCGAATTTAGATAGCATCAAAGAAAAACGCGATGCTCTTTTCCGCTCCAGTTTCCAGGAGCGTTTATTCGCACGAAACAAAAACTAATCGAAGAAGGAGAAAAACCTTCAAAATTTCTGTATAATTTAGAAAAACTTCAACAGCGGAACAAGTCAATTACCAAAATTCGCAAAAATGACGGTACATTGACGAGTAAACCTGGTAAAATACTTAACTCCCTCGTTTCATATTATAAAAACATTTACACCAAAACGAATTTATGCAAAGACAGCCAAATCTATGTCTTGTCACACATCACCAAACTTTTAAGTGATGCTGAAAATCAATTTTTAAACACCCGCCTAACCGGTGAGGAACTTAAAGAAGCCCTTTTTAAATTTGAAAACGGAAAATCCCCGGGCTATGACGGACTTCCAGCTGAATTTTACAAAACTTTTTGGCACATTTTAGAAAAAGATTTTGAAGAACTTGCCTACGAAATACTTTTTGTAGAAAAAAACACCAGCCACTCTATGAAAAAATCAATAATTTCACTGATTCCTAAAGAAGGAGATCTAACTGAATGCAAAAATTGGAAGCCCATATCCTTAATCGGCACTGATTACAAAATAATCACAAAAGCGCTGGCCCTAAGACTTGCAAAAGTAATGGGGAAAATTATAGAACCAAATCAAACTTGCGGAATTCCAGGTAGAAACATTTTTTCAAATTTACATCTAGTACGTGACCTATTAGATTACGCAGAATTAAAAAATCTACCTAGTTTTATTTTAACAATAGACCAAGAAAAGACGTTTGACAAAGTCGATCGTGTGTTTCTGTTGCAAATTCTCCGAAAATTCAACCTCGGAAAAAATTTTGTATCCTTTGTAAACACCCTATATTCAGAGGTTTCGGCATCTGTTCTGAATTGCGGTTTCTTGTCGGTCTCTTTCCCTATCGAAAGGGGAGTTAGACAAGGCAACCCCCTCTCTCTGTTGTTGTATGTCTTTGTCGCCGAGGCTCTCGCTTTGGTGATCAGAGCAGACAGCAGAATAGAGGGTTTCCCATTACCCGGAACACCAAAACCACTTAAAATGCAGCAGTACGCAGACGAATCGAACTTTTTTGCCAGGGACGTAAAATCAGTCCGTTTTTTTTTCGAAACAGTAAAACTATTTGAAAAAGCAAGTGGTTCAGTGATCAATGCCTCAAAAACCAAGGGTCTCGCTCTTGGGGGCTTTGATCCTAAAATTTACCCTGAATTAGACAGCATAGAGTGCAATAACACTGGTTTTAAAATTTTAGGTGTTACTTTTTACACCAGACTGAGTAATACTACCAATTTCAACTGGTTAGTAACTCTAAACAAAATAGAGAAAAATCTCAAGTTTCTGGGACTACGTACTTTGTCACTTAGGGGAAAGACTATGTTGATCAATGTGTTAGCAATGTCAAAAGTTTGGTTTCTATCAAACGTGTTGCCTACTCCTGATTGGGTAATAGACCATTTGCATAGAGCCATTTTTGAAAATCTGTGGCAAAAGACCAATTTCAATCGGGTCAAACAAGAGACACTTTTTTTACCCGTCAAAAGCGGGGGTCACGGAATTTTATCTCCGAAGGAGCAAAGTCTTGCACTTCGCCTCAAAACACTCTTTCAATTGAAAGAATGCGAAGAGGACCAAACTCACGATTGCTACTACTTTTCAAAGTACTAGTTGGCAAGTTCACTTATAAAATATACGAACCAAAACCAAAGCTGGAACTTTTTGAAACAGAACAATTTTCCAAAACATTGGGACAACAAAATGTCTCAGTACTACAAAACAACAATAGAAGCTTTAGGTCAAAACGGGTCCCTGTTTGACATCCCCCTAAAATCAACAAAAAATTTTTACTTAGAAGTGGCAAAAAACAAAAAGACAGTCGTTACAGCAGAACTTTTCTGGAACGGTTCAACAAAAACAACAATGCCGTGGACCCAAATTTGGAAAAAGAACTTAACTTCCTACGCATGCGGACCGACTCAAAACATTCTCTTTCGATTTTTACACAACAGTTTACCTTCTGCGGCCTTGCTAGCCAAAAGCAAAAGGCAACAGATCGTTAAAAACAACAAATGCAAAACTTGTGGTAAAATTGAGGACAACATACGCATCTTTGCCTACTGTCCTCCCTCTGTTGAAATTTGGGAGTATTTTAAACATGTATATAACTCCTTGACATCCCATAACAATTTTTCTCCGATAAATTCGATGTTCTCCATCCAAACAGCGAATTTATCGGGAAAAAATCCTACCTCGCAGCTGCTTTTGACACTCACTCAAACCATCATGTGTGAGATATGGAACAGCAGATGCCACCATATGTACAACGATTCCAAAATCGATCCGATGGCAGTGATCAGGGTTATAATCAAGAACATCAAGAATATTATTACTTTAAAATATAACTATCATGCCCGTAGAAACACTACGGACATTTTCTGTCAACTTTTTTGTATAAATAATGTATTCTGCCAAGTAGAGAACGGGAGTCTAAAACTAAACATATGAGCCAAACTAACACACTGGCACATAGAGAGAACAATATGTTTAGCAAAGACTTTCCGCTCTCTGCAAATAGTTATTCTTTACATCAAAAATATTATTATTTATAATTAGAAAATCACTGCCAGCCTATATTTAATGACATATAACTTTAACTTATAAGTGTTATCTCTTTTGTTTGTAAAGTTATTTTTGTGTTATATTCCTGTATTTTTTAATTAATTTCTTTCTATCACATCTTCTTATCTTTGCAAATAGTCCTTTAACCTATAACTAAATTCTTACTCTTAAACATTAACTAAAACTTCGATTTCTTTCCGCACAACTTCCTCCAAAAAAAAATATATTTATCTATATATATAAAACAAGAAAAACACAAAAAAATAAAAAACAAACAAAAAAAATATATATATATAAAAAAAACAATAAAAGCACAAAAAAAATAAAAAATATAAAAACGAAAAAATACATTTATAATTATAGAAACAGTTGTAAAACTTATATATTGTAATAATAATATATAAATCGGAGATAATGTGATATTATAAAATTGTAAATATTTATTATTTTGAAATAAATTTTATATATATAAAAACACACAAAAAAAAAAAAAAAAATTAATACAAATAAGCGATAATTTATTGCGATTTGGACGACGAAGAAAGTTAAAGAAGAGTTCATGTTAAGTGAACTCCAATCACTACTTTGTCGGCGTACTTTACTTAGACTAAGTCTAACTAACAGAATTTATTGCACTCTCTAACATCGTGTGCAATCCTGTCTGCTTACTCTATGCCATCTTTCTAACTCGACTACTTCTATCTTTTACTTTAACATATCTTCGTTCTTCTTAAACTCAACTTACTCTCAGTCGGTTGAGCGGGTATGACACTCCTTCGGGAGCTCAACCAGTCTTTGCGGACTTCTTGTAAAGTGACCGCTATATGGCAATTAGCCGGAGGAGGTTAACTACAATACCAATTTATTGCGATTTGTAGCACCCTCAAATATTAGGTTCAATTCTGGCCGCTCTCTCTATGCTATCTTTCTAACTTGACTACTCCTGTCTTTCACTATAATATATCTTCGTTCTTCCTTAACTCACCTTACTCTTGGACTATAGAGCGGGCTATGACGCTCCTTGGGAGCCGAACTTGTCTTAGCGTGCTTTGATGATGTGGTCTATATATGGCAATTAACCGGAGGAGGATAAACCACAATACCGGCCTTAATGTGTTGAGATTTGGCATATTTGTATAATTAGTATATATATTTTTTATTCTTCTTATGATAAATTATTTTCTATAGCGTTTTATTGGTTACGTTTAGGGCAAATTGATAGGTTATAATAATTCGATAGATAGATGAGTGAAGGAATAAATATGGCTCCTTCATGCAATCGAAGTGTGGCGTTAGCTTTTATTTAGTGTGTTTTTAGTGGGACAAACATTAAAGCCACATATGAGACGCACTAACGCCATCCCATAAAGGAGAGTGGTAAATATATAGCTAACATGTGCTTCCCACACGTGGGCCACATAAAACTTTCACGCACAAATGAAGCGTGGCGTTCATTCTTATTTAGTGTGGTTTTATTGGGATAAACATTATAGCCACATATGGGACGCATTAACGCCATCCCATAAAGGAGAGTGATAAGCATATGGTTAGCATGCAAATGCCATATATGGCCAACATTAAAATTTCTTGTCGGGAAGGCAAAATATGTAAAATGGGAGCAAGACGTCCTGCTATATTGTCAGATGATACAGAACAAAAACTGAAGGATTATTTTAATTTTTTGCAGAACGGGGTTTCGGTCTCACAAGGGATAAAGCAAAAAAAATTGTAGGTGATTATGTTAGGTAGCAAAAGATAAATTCCCAATTCCCTAATGGAGTGCCAGGAAGACGACTAGCTTGCTGGTTTTATGAAAAGACACGTCGATTTGACAACGATAAAGCCTGCGTAGTTGAAAAAAATGCGTATAAAGACAATTATAAACAAAATAATTTTGTCAGATTTTTATGAATTGTTTTTAAAAATCTCCACTGACATTAACATAGGTAACAAGCTAGAAGCCTTTTATAACATCGATAAAACTCGCTTTTCTCTCAACCCCTCCAGAGCTAATGTAATTCCGTATAAGGGCGTGCAAAATTTTTTCTATATCTATATGTTCTAATCTAAAGCTACAATATCATCATGTGAGACGTCACCCTCGCCTTCACTTTAATTGAAGGATATTTTTTAAAAAAAACTCACATTTCTTCTTAAAAAACCAGGCAAAAGTCAATAAGGAAAAATTCTTATATCAGATGAATGCATCTCACAAAGGAAATGAGGCTAAAACCAAACCGAAAACTGTCTCTATTTCATGAAAAGGAAAGGGTAAAGGCAAAAAAAAGCATCTGTGAGTGATGCCGCAAACGAACCAATTTTATGCATCATGCGCGGTAAATATAGATGCGAGTAAGTATGGATGATTCTGAAGTTTGGGGTCTGAGCGTTATGTGTGCTCTCCGTGTTAAATTGTGCTGCTTAAAATGCTCACAACTATCTGTAGAAGATGCCAATAATTTTGACTTTTATTGTAGGCGATGCATTTCCCGCTAATATAAAATTAAAAAAATGCTTACTCAGGAATCCTTTATGTATATATTTAAGAATACTATTATTTTCACATTTTGCTTCAAAATTTGTTTTTAATAATTATTCAGAAACTTAGATTATTTTTTAGAACTTGAGGGTAGAATTAGCCCAGTTTACTCTACGAGATTTTTATGCATTTTCAAAAATACGAGTGTTACTTAAAATGGTTAGACAGCACGACCTTTCCCTAGTTGCTATAAATAAAAATAGAATTTGAGTTTTGTTTGAAATTACTAAATTTTTTACACTATTAAGAATTTTTTAATAGTGTAAAAAATTTACACCCACAAAAAAAATATTTTCTTAAAAAAGTCATAATATTTTTACATTATGACTTTTTTCGTCGTCTTAAACTAATTTAATAATTTAGTTTTGCGTTTAAATGTAATCAATCTTTATACTATGAATTGAATTTTTTATAATCAATTTTTAATTGACTAATTCTAAAACTTTTTCGTTTTTTAAAAATTGTGAAATTTTAATATTTTAATGAAAAATCCTAAAATATTAATTACTACAAAAAACTTCAAAATAAAATGTAACCGAATCAAAACTAAAAAATAGATTCGAATGCATGATTGATTATAAAAAGATAAACTGGACATTTAACCAAGAATGATTAAAACAAGTTTAAATTTTCAAGTAACAAATATTTTGTACCATTTATTAATTATTATTTAGCGTTGATCTCAAACAAAATTTAAATAATTTTTATTCTAATTATGGTATAGCGTATTATATTTTTTTCAAAACATATAATTTTCAATTTTAAGAAAATCATAACTTAAAAATAAATATAAAAATGATTTAACAATTTGATAAAAATATTAGTGAAAATAGTTTTTATGACTTACAAACGGGTTTCAATTTTAATTTATATACTTTAGCAATGTTTATTATATATTTTTTTGCATCCATCTGCATCAGTCATACTTTTTGCATAGGAGTTACATATGTAGTGTTATATTGTCTTGTTTTGCATATGCATTATATCAATGTATTTATTGCGTTTATCACACACTTAAATACATATAAAAATTCTTGAAATTCAAACATACCAAGGAGTTATAACAGACTGGAGGGAGAAAGAAGTTAAAATACGTCATGTTTCAAAGAGCAGTCCCCTCGTAATAATCAAAATTTAAAGTTTTCCACGTTTTAACAAAAATTATCCGATGTTATTTTTCAAAACGTTATAAACGAATAATGCATTGCAAATAAAAAATGGAAGTTAAAATAATTCGTAATCAATATTTACAGTTAGTTTATTTCTTTGTTGTGCTTTTTGAATAACTAACAATAAATTTTTAGATTCGAATTTAATTATTAAATGTCTAGATAAGAATAAGTAGTAAATTTGCCGGATTTACAAAAAGAAGTTTTATATTTCTATAATTAGAATATAGCAACTTGCTTCTAAATCCAGCAAAAATACTTTAACACAAAGCCTAGAAGGATTTAATAAGCACCTGGCCAAAAGAACATTCTTAATGAATGTAACAAACCTAGAGCTAAACAGGCAAGCAAAAAATATAGTTTAAACAGAAAGTAAAGGTTGTCTAAAACTTTAATATTTATACCTATAATTTAGGGTGCAAGAAACAATTACTTGATTTCAAGTAATTTAATCATGATTTTTGTTGCAATTATTTTCTTAATCGAATAGTAATTAAAACTTTAATCCATTTCAATTACAGCTTTCAATTCACATTTCAATTTTGATTACATATTACAAAATACATTTCAAATTTTTCATTTTTTTCGTAAAAGCATCATATAGACTTACAGCTGGAATATGTATACAACGGCTATATCGGGTTTGAAGTCATTTTCGGTTTCGTTCTTCCTCCAGCAATTATATCTCTTTAAACATACCTGGTCTGGTTTGTGAGTCTGAACGCAAAAGTATCTTCCAAAGTATTTTTAAATTAGAATAAACAATGTCATTTTCAAGCAGGCTGGAAAACAATTTTTAGAGAACCACTTATTTGTTAGTTTTGAATGTAATAAAGGCAGATCTGAAGGATATTTCTGTAAACTAGTGACATGAATGTTATCTGAACCACATGCCAAGAAGAGTTGAAATTAAAAAAAAATTTGACAACTGCCGCTGCAGCTATGGCAAACAAAATTTAAGGAACTTTAAAACATGTTTTTATGAGCAGACACAATTACATCTCAATTTGTGTAGGCTCCATAAACTGCTAATGCCGCCTTGTGTATTTATTAAAAAGCAGATTTTAATGCAATTAAAAATATACAACCTTTGTTATCAAAGTATTGAAGAGTTCAACTCTTCAATACTTTGATAACAAAGGTTGTATATTTTTAATTGCATTAAAATCTACGGCTAAAAGACAAAATATGCTAAGATCTAAAACTTTAAATTAAAAAAACAAGCTGTTTCGATTAGCTGGTATAATAATTTATTATGCACTCAACTTAGTTATCGTAATTGCTCATGCTTTTATTCCAAAATAAGATTTAACTGCTTGGTTTGATACAACCTTTTCAAAAATTTTAACTCTTAGCTGTATAAGCTAGGTAGCTAGCTAATGAATAGCGTATGGTTTTTTTCTTGTAATCTGTGTTATAATTACATTATAATCCAATTATTTTAATTGTTTGCTTTTTTTTAACATTAAGAAATTAAAACGTTTTATTTCTTAAAAACGTATTAAGTTAACTTTGATTTTAAAATATAATATAATTAAATCCTTAGAAATTATAACTTTGAATTGCTTATAAAATTTATGTTTTTTTTATTTAAAACATTTATGTTCAAAATGTTTTATGTTTAATATGCTAAAATTTTTTTTATCTCCCCCCTCCCCCCACTTTGAAACCATGTCGTCGGCCCTGCGAGCTCTCTTACCACACAACCTATTTTATCTCGATATAGTTCAATAATAATAATATCTCATAGTATACTTATAAAAAAAGGTTAGGGGAAGAAGGGGTTGATTTTATTATAAATATGTAGAAACGGCAGTAAGTTCTAGAATGCTTACAGAATCGTACAAATGGAAAGAAGATAATAAATCAGTAGTTTGAACGCGTACGTACTTGATGGATGCCCCCATACCGTGACAATTTTTTTTAACTGTATTTTAAGTGTAATTTGTTTATATTTCATGGTGTAAAAAATTGTTCGTATGTATGAAAACATAAATTAAAACAAAATTTCTCTAAAACCTATAACAATTTTTATTCTAGTTGCTTCTTCATCTTTAATAATATTCTTTTAAAGCAAGTGGTTTAGTAAACTGTAAAGATAAATTGTACTCAAATGTGGAAACTCACAATGGTGATTTTCCTTTTTTTTTCATTGATATTTTCTTTTTTTATTTATGAAATTATATATATATATATATATATATATATATATGTATATATATATATACATATATATATATATATATATATATATATATATATATATATATATATATATATATATATATATATATATATACATATATGTATATATATATACATATATATATATATATATATATATATATATATATATATATATATATATATATATATATATATATATATATATATATATATATATATATATATATATATATATATATATATATATATATATATATATATAAGATTCTTCTGTTGTTCATTTTTGTAAATTTATTCAAAAATACTTTTTTTAGGCGTATATTGTATTTCCGCTACTATTATTACAAAACAAAACATGTCGTAAGTTTAAATTTGATTGGAATTAATATTTTTTATGTAAATAATAAAAACATATAAAATAAGAAAAGTAAATGTAAAATTGTTAAAACTTATTTAAAATTTCCTTTTTAAGGAAATGCTGTCTTGATTTTCATTTATTGTAATATATTTATTGAAAATATATTATGTTGCTAATTTTTTTTTTTTTTTTGTTTAAAATATATTCTATTTTGTATAATAAAATATATATCAATACTATTTTACAGTAATACACAAAAAAAATTAACCACGTTGAATGCAAAACCAAACAGTATTTCAGAACGGTGCTAGTGTACTTTGAAACTAATTTCAGTTTTATGAAATAGATGATATTGAAAGCGAGTTTAATGAAATATAGTATAAAATTGTTGTGACAATTTTTATTATTTTTTTCCTACTTATTTATTAAATTAACATTTTGCAATTTTTTTTGATTGTGTAGTGGAGAATCTTTTTTTGAATAAGGTTATATAAATTTTCAATTCAAAATAAATATTTTTGTTTCTGTAAATGATGAAATCTTTGGTTGCGTAATAACAACAACAAAAAAAAAAAAAAAATAGGCATAAAACTCTCGGAAGTAAAGTTTGCTGGCATCTTTGGCTTGAGTTTTTACGCTGGTCTAGAATCTTTTTTTAATTAAATTTGCTATTTCTGGTTAAATGTTTTGAGTTATAAACGGAAACAGTGAACAATTGGGTTTAACTTTGCGACTTCGCTCAATTTTTTAGGTTTGATTACTCAGTGCACAGTAATTTTAGCTAAAGTTGTAGGTATATTAAAAACAAGATTTTTTCATGTTACCATATTGTCGTAGATTTGAAATAAAGTATTTCTTAAATGCAAATTAATTTATTTACATTATTTATACCGTATTACAGTTGGCATTCAATGTCCTTAGACGTCCGACGGACGTTGACGGCGGCCTCTGTTAGTCGTCTTTGAATGTCCGATGCCTACTGGTGTTGATTGACACCATATTTATCATAAAATTTATACAGTGTTTGTCTAAAACACTTTTTTTATATAAAATATTTTAAATAGCTTTTTTCAATAAATGGACAATTTTTGTGGAAAAAATAGGCAGAAACACATTTGCGGGTAATAAAATAAAAAACAAAAGGAACATAAAAATACATTTCTATAGAATACTAGTGTTGTATCTTAGTTAAATATAGCTTCGCTACATGCTTTTTAGTAAAGTTCACAAAATATGTAAAAATTATAAACAATCTTTATAAACATGGCGGACAAGAAATGTAAATAGATTTCAATCATATGTAAAAAGATTTCAAATCATAAATTAACATGGCGGACAAGAAATGTAAATAGATTTTAATCATATGTAAAAAGATTTCAAATCATAAATTAACTTTCCAACGTTAGAAAAATAGATTTACAATCAAAAGAAATCAGTTATTTATTATTAGAATCATTGATCTTACTATTTTTGAGCATATCAATAATATTTAAAACTTGGGATTGTGTCATTTGTCGACCTCAGGAAGTCGTAGTCTAAATGTTTTTCAAAGTGTAAATATAAGCAAAGTTTATTAAAAAACCATATAAACTTGTTGTTTTACGGGCTGCTGTGGACGTTTGCTTTAAAATTTTAAGTCAGAAATGCAATGCATCTTTGAGTTTTAAAGTAAAATAAATGTAACTAACGGTTAATGAAATAAGCCAATTAATTGCTTTTATTCTTTTCAAGTATTCGCAACTATTTATAAAAACTATATTTTAGTCGCAGGTGGACACTTGACACATGTTATCTATCGGGTTGTACTTATTTATATCAAAAACGATATCTTGTTGATTAGTTTACCAACTTATTCGTCACATTTTTTGCAGCCACTAGATATCAGTTTTTATTGCAATGTCAAAAGAGTTTGGCGCACATTACTTCAAGAGGTTTATACAAAGAGAAAGCTTTGCAATTTTTTTAAAAAATGTTTTAGTAAACGCTAGCAAAACCTATTAGGTTTGATGAAGTGTTTACACTTACGCAAACAGTCAAAGGATTTCAAAGTACTGATTTGTTTCCACTTAATACAAAGAATATTTATCAACCTAAATTACAAACTACTAATACGTTTGAAACACAATCATCATAACCTAAGTTTTTTTTATTTCAGCCACACTATCTCAGCCACTGCCTTCTGAATATATTATAACAACATCAGCATAAGTCGTATTGTACCAGCTCCAATTTCAAATCTACCGTCAACTCGCCTGCAACTAACCATCAATATAACTCTTACTATTTTAAAGGAAATTTAAAAAGAAGTTGAAAAATAATTGAAATAGGACTTATTGCTTGCCGCAGCTTTGCAGAAAATGTTTTGATCCAACACGTTGACACAAAAAACAAAAACAAATGCAGACATGCCAAAATGCAAAGAGGAGTGTCTCAATAAATATATAACATTCAAAAGATTGAAAGATGTTGACAGCAAAAAGCAGCAAAGCATGCTTGGAGCGTAAGCTTGATTTTGATGATGAAATCAATCAACAACAGCAACTCCAACAAAAATAAACAACAGCAGCAAATCAAGTTAAGTGCAAACATGCCGTAATGTTTTGAGAAAATTTTGATTAAGTTAAAATAGTAGATAATATCAGAACAAAATTTCTAAATCCGATGTTTGGCTTTGTCAAACATACGTGCCAAAGCAATATATAAAAAAACATTAGGTTATATTGCACCAAAAAGTGCACCCCAATTGACTAATCAATTCAACCTCAAGAATGTCTTGAAAACTTAACCTCATCACATAAATATAAATATTTACTATATTAACTGTTTGTTTTTTTAATTGTCATTACTGGTTATTTTTTAATTGTTATAATTGATTTCATTTTTTTAATTAAGTATTTTTATTTACCCATTAGATTGCATATTTCCTTCTCCCAAAATATGAAAGTAGAATGAAGTAGTGTTTTTTTAAAACACAGTTTTATATTAAACTTTATAAAAATTTATCTAATTATTATATATTTATACATATGAAAAAAAAAATGATTAACTCTTTAAAAAAAAAAATTAATTAAAAAAAAAAGTCTCTAAATAATTTCATTTGATGCGCTTTTTCTCTATATATTTGATACTTTATTTTGGATTTCATGTACGGATTTTTATTTTACTATAATGTATTAATATACGCTTACCGGAAAAGAAAGATAAATTTAAATTTAACGGTAAAAATATTGTACTCTCAAGTCAACCTCTAAAAATTATCATAAAATAAAAACTTTATTTAAATTTTATGGTAGAAGAGAAATATTATAACTGATGTCTTGAATAGCAGAAGGGCTTATTAAAGTTAAATAATTTGTTTTTAACAATATAAATATGACTTAACACGTTCTGCTGCATTGGTGACTTGGGATTTTTTGTTAAAAAAAGAGTGATGGCACCTTGATAATGGTATTGATCTCTGACAGATTTGAAATACATCCCACTATTTTCTTATAAAAAGTCATCTAGAAAGAAACTTAAAGGTTATGGAGTATATTTTTAATAAGCTGTCTGGCGCAGACGTAAATCTGTGTCACATTATTACTTGTATAGGATTCTGAACGCAGGATCTGCTGTAATTATATCTGGTTCTTAATTATGATTAAAAGATATCAAGTTATTTAAAGTGTGACCATTAGATTTTAGTGAGTTAGATTCTAGTAAAAATTTAGATAAAAAAAAAAAGGCAAAAAATTTTACTTTATTTTTGATTAAGGTTACAAGATCAGATTTTCATATGAGAGATGAATTCATAAACTTACTTTTGCTAATTTTACTTAAAGTTTATCTAAAAATCTATTTTCAAAACAACATTTCGTATGTTAATCTGCAAACAACAATAAAGTGTAAAAAACTGAGAATCTTAACCTTAACTTGAAAAAATTCGTAAATAAAATAAGGCTTTGTTTTTCAAAATGAGCTGTTCAGATAAAAAAGATTAAAAAAACTGCGAATAAAATATCAAATAAAGTAATAAATTTGCAGTTATTAAAAGGAAATAGAAGTTGCACAAGAAGAAGAACTTTCACTGACTTAAAGCTAAAGAGATTGACTTGACTTAAAACTAAAAAGATATATTAAAAACTTCATGCAACTTTTAATGAATCACTATTTAAATGTTAAACTGTTAATGCTCTAATGGAATCACTGCCTTTAATTGCTAACATTAATTTTTGGAAAAATGTTAAAACTACTGTGTTGAGTTTTAGATCTCCATGCTGAAAGCTTAATGTTTTACTTAATGAAATTTTTTTTATATCACTCATACCATTCTCATTTTAAAATATAGTATTTTACTAAAAATAGAATTTTGAAGTATTCCTTACAAAAATGTTTTTCATACTCAAAAAAATCTGCTGACAAAAAGATTTTTAAATAATAGAATTTTAAAATATAGCGAAGATGTTGACTAATAGTACACCAAATTAAACAAATATTTTTTATATAACTTAAGGAATAATTAGAATAACAAAATACTTAAATAAAAAACGAGACCAAGGCAATAAGAAGACTATTGTAGTCTTATCACAGAGCTCATGAAGTATATTTTAAAGTACTTTAAATAACTTATAAAAAATAAAAAATTAAACAATTAGACATCAGGTAAAATTTTTTTACTGTATTAATACCTTAGGGACATTGATAAAATCTTATTTTGCAGAAAGAAAATAAGCAACAGTGTATAGGGGTTGTCCATAAGTTACGTCATGCTGTAGGGGTAGAGGTAGGCAATTTTGTGGCAATTCGTTACAAGGGAGAGGGAGTGGGTTACCAATTTTGTGACACAACCATTTTATTTTTTTTAGTTTTAAATTTAGAGAAGATTTTCTTTTGATTAAAAAATATCTGACCAAACCGCAACCTTTAGTTGATGTATCTACATGTTGGTTGTAAAATCAACTGCGCTTAAATCTTACTTAGTCGATGTGCACACTCTATTAACAGAGTTGTTACAGCCTGTTAA